TTCAAATCGTTTTTGAACATTTGCTTCATGCATTAGACGAATAATATCTTTTCGCGTTAAAATACCTTGTAATCGACTAAAACAGATAAAAAAGATGTTTCTATAAATTAGAATAAGGAATACAAGGATCGCTAATGGAATCTCAAGACCGAGTAGTATCAAGCAAATTTTATAGATTTCAAATATTATTGATAAAGAAATAGTGTTGTTAATGGAATTTTGCTGTTGTTGCATTCAATTTTAGTTTGAAAGAATAAATGTATCCTTGAAAGTCAAAGAATCTTAAATAATATTGTCAGAATTTGTCTTCTATTGCTCGTCAACATAATATATCACGAGTGGTGCAAACGTCTTGCATTAAATGTCGAACATTATTCCCGCATGTTGTCAATGTGCCGAAAAGTTAATTATTTATCCACTGAATAGAGCAAAGTCTGAATTTCAAAAACAATATAGAAAACAAAATTTTTACGATTGACTTTGAGGAAGAAAAATGTTGTTCAATATCAAACGTGACTAAAAAAGTTCTTGCAACTTCTGTCTTGGTCAAACGTATCTTTCGTATCAAACGTATTTTTCCCTATACGTTTGAAATTATATAATTATAGAAACTAGAAGTGTTTTTATCACTCTTTCAAATGGGATGGGAAAAATTATGTTTTGATCCAGTTTTCGAACGAAACTTTGTAAGTTTTTCATTAGTTTCAAAAAAACAGGTAATTAGATTTAATGAATAATTTTCAGATACTGAACGAATTTCCTCTTTTTTCTAAAAACACATTTTCTGAAATAAACAGCGCTTTATTGGCCACATTTGGTATCGAACTTTTTTCTTTCTCAAAGTCAATCGCAAAAAATTTTGTTTTCTATGCTTTTTTGAAGTTAGACTTTGCTCTATTCAATGGAAAATTAATTAACTCTTCAGCACATTGACAATATGCAGAAATAATGTTCGACATTTAATGCAAGACTTTTGGTTCCTTATTTCTACTCACCCATTTTGTGTTACAAATATTTGCCTACATCCTAATTTCCTAAACATATCGATGACTGCTTCCATCGGTGTTTGATCAGTGACTATGATCGGTGCACGATCCACTAGTTTGTGTAATTGTAGAATTTTTGATGCTTGAAGAGCGATTGATGCACGTCTAACACCTATTGACGACGGTTGACCGGATTTATTTAGTAACGCTGATAACGATACAACAGATGTTCTACGATTCAACAGTGTTTTTGGTTGTGTGAGAGTTTGTTGTACTCTACGCGATGTTAGCACGGCCATAATATCACGTCGCTGTATTTGTCCGACAAGACACGGAAATTCTTCACTAATAACAACAGGATAAATAGAGTGTGGATGTCGACGAACGAGAGTATCGACAGCTGCAATTGTCATACCATCTTGAACAATGTAAGCTAAAGGTGTTGCCATACCGGATTTGGACTGCCGGATGGCTTCACCAGCTTTCAGTGTAAAACGAAAACTTTCACGATTTTCTAAAAAATACAACATCAATGAACAAAAAAGGTATGATACAGATCGATCTGGTAGATAGAGCGATATGAGGAACAAAGAAATGAGTGGAATACAAAAAAAAAGAGATCTACCGACTCAATCTTGACTGTATTTATTCAAAATCGTAGCATGATATACGGTTTCATCATGTGAAATAACTAAAAATTAAAAAAAAAGATATCTTGGAGTACAGTGTCTCTCGACCTTATACAAATATCATCGTACAGTAAAACTTTACCTTTTGTTACGATACAATGGTTCTACACACAAATGTACAGAATATCGCCGTTTACAACTCCATTGAGATTATTCACTAATAATAATAATTCTGAGATAAAATTTTTAACAGTGATAGGATCAGACATTTTTGGTAAATATCGTGGAGTTTCCATTTTTCATGTAGTAATGGTTAAAAAGTAACAGATTAGCGAAATGAATAATGATATTGTAATACATGGATTATATATCAACAATATAGACGTGATGATTTGATATTACTGTGAAAAACTAATCATCCATACAATTTTTTTTTGCGATCTTGTTTATAATGTACAACCTTAGACGCTCAAGCTGAGGAACAAATACAAGGATGTCGCGAGGCAAACAGAAGCTGAAGGCTCATATTCGACTGTTCACCTTGAATAATACAGACTCAACTAAGTTAATAAAGAGAAGAAAAAACCTTTTTGTTAATACAATAGATGTTCATCACGTGAGAAAGTAGGAGATACTCGATGATAAAAAAGCCTTTATGTCTAGAAAAATTGGATGTAGTATTGTACTTTCTATTCTGATTCTCTGGTTTAATATGACTGCTCACTTTTCTATTAAATTCAGATTTTTTTTAACAGACGTAAAACGGAGCCCTTCATCTTAAAATTAGCATCTTTTTGGCTGGTTACCATTAACACTATTTTGTCTACAATCGAATAAACTAAGCTATCTCAAGGCCAATACAGAAAACTATTATCGTGATATGTATGTTTTACGTCAAGAAAAATGAGCTTTTCACATAGAAAACTTTACCTAAGTAAGGATAACCAGATAATTTAACATTTTCTTCGTAAATTCCATCACCAAACGCATCGCCGACCCACTTCGCCGTTAGCGCTGTTATCATTAACGGTACAATATACGATAGACCGCCCGTTACTTCAGACATAATAACGACGAGAGAGACAGTCATTCGGGATACTCCACCGAGGAATGCACATGCCCCAATTACAGCATAAAGTCCCGGAGTTACACAATGTTCATTCGACACACCACATTCATGTCTTAATATTGCCAAATGCTGATTTTTGAATGCAATTTGTTCAGTAATAACACCAATTAGTCTAAAAGTAACAACAACAGCTCGAGTTAAAAGACATATTTGAAGACGGTCATGAGCATTTGCACTCACCGTCCTGCAAGTGCTCCAATAGATATACTTGGTATAATGAGGCCGCTCGGTAATTTTGTTCCGATAGTAAATATAACCAATACGGCTTGTACCATTAGCGCCCAAAATAAATGCCACAAAGCTCGATGAAGTCCAGGGCCAGCTAAGGCTGCATATAGCTTGGATGTAGCTGTTTCAATTGGTCTTGCACGATCGTAATCACTGAGAATTGAGAAACAAAAGATAAGAACGTATTAAAGAATCTATACAGCTGACGATGTGGTTTTTAAACCACAAGTTAAAGGTAGCTACAAATCAGTTGTACGACTGATCATTGGATCCTCATATTCTTTTAAACTGGAACTGTAGGTTTCCTTCTAAGATTTGCAAGTAACTGACGAAAATTTTATATTATTGTAAAAGTTGAACATTTAATACTGAACAAAAAGTTACCTGTAGTATCGAGCTAACGAGGGAACCGTTCCAGGTGTCCGACCGCTTTTCTAACGAAATGCGGTAGTTTATAGGTAATCGACCATGCTGATTCCGAATATGATAGCCGTT